GAGGGGGTGTAGGCTGTGTAGCAGCGGATGGGCAAAAAAGATAAGAGCGGCCTTTGGCCCATCCAAGTTGCACTCTTCGGCCGTTCAAGATTAGGCGCCACATAAAAGATATCCTAAGCTTCTTCCTGTTGATAACTGAGATGACGCCTAGGGAGACATGTCGTTGTCATCTCAGTTGCTAACTCCTGGTCGCCTAACAATCTCGCTTATTCAAAAATAGAATTAACTTTGCTTTTTTTGGATGAAAATACGTCTGTGGCCCACATACATACATAATAACACACCAATAACCATGACTACCGCGCCTTTGATGCGCATGGGAATCGAACCCGATCTCATACAAACTATCCTAGCTACGGTAACCATTTGAGATATATTTTAAGTAGTTTTACTTGAATTTTCACAAATTAAATACAAAAAAAAAAGAAAAGATAAACTAGACGAATAACAATAAATATCAATATTTTAAATAGTAGTAAAAGAAAAATAAAGTACCTATAAAGGTGGCAGCCGAATTTCTGAGTATTGCAAGGTACATGATAAATTATTAAAAGGAGAACATATTATACATTAAAATACTTTAAGCAAATGGTGCTGAGCATTTTACATTTTATATCATAGCTTTTATCTATTTTTTTTAACACGGAAACATGGCAATATTTTACCATTCGCTTCTGAATTTATCAAAATGCTTATGAATGAAATACAGAATAATAAATAATTCGATCTGCTTCTTCTATCTCCCTGAAAAAGGAAACGAAAAAACAAAAAATAATAAAACAGAAGGAAGGGGGGAAAACATGCTCTACACGGGTGTCCAACGGACGAGCAACACTTAATTGTCAATTTAGCACTTTAGATTCAAAACCCTTAATCTTATCCCAATGAGGATGCCAACAACTTAGGCATTACATAATTTGCTCCTTTTCAAAAATTTCTAAGCAAATCACGTAGATGCCAGCTCGCTAATGACCACTTAAAGTTACTTGTTGGAGTCAATAAAAACATCAAGCCCAAAGACCATTAACAAAAAATGACTTGATTGACTTTGAATTCATGTTCCAATTAGGGTGCCTCCCAATGAGCTTTCGGTCCATTAATGCCTAATTCTACCTAATTGACAAGATTGATGTACCTAAAACTCTCCCTAATTTGGTCTTTCATTGCTCTGTGCTTTCTCATCCGAGAGTCCCTCTCATGAGTCTCATCTAATTAACTAATAATGATATGTTGTACTCCGTAATAAAGTTAATTTTTTTAAGAGGACAAGAATATTATTATTTGCTTTATTTAGCAGGAGAAGGTGTCTTGTCAACAACCATGTCTTGAACAGCTGAACATATATATGTGTGTGTAGTATAGCTGAAACATAATGATCGATCCAAGATTATTGAGTACAAGTTAAATATTTGGAAGAACAGAATGCAATAATTCTCAATGTAGTAGATAAAACCTTGAGTAAAATTTTATATTAATTGAGCAAACCAATGCATCTAAATCTTTATGTTGATATTATCATTTCTGTGAGTCACATATCTCCTACATGTAAATCCATCTCGTGGATATATTCACTGAAACCTTTAAACAAAAAGCATAAAAGAGACCCTCACGGAAGAAAGTTTGACCAATATTATAAAAGAAACAATTTAGTTCTTAATGTACCTCTCTTGTCTATTATCTTCTTATTTTATCAAAGCAATCCCATGAAAACGCTTGCTACATATTCTAAGAAACTCCAACCTCTCTCTACCACCCATTATCCTCAAGTTCACATTACCAACTTCGTGTATATCTATTTAATCCATATTTTCCACATGTTTTTTATTTGTTAATCACGGTAATAAACAAAAAGAAATACAACAACGGGATCAAGATCTTATATAAAAAGAAAAAGAAAAAAAAAAGATGATACGTGATCTTCAAAGATTCTGGAATTTGTTCCATCATATGTAACTTAACGATATTTTAAAAACCCTAATCCATTTCTAATGATGATTAACTGATATATAATGAGGAGATCGCTACTTGAAGATCTTTTTTTTTTATTTTTCTTTTTTCCCCCCTTCCTTCTAATAAAGAGGACAATGCTTTCTGTTCCTTTGTCCACCTAATTAACATTTCGTTCGGACCCTTGACACGACACGGAATCAACCAGACGCGGGACCCACAACTCAGGCCCTCCCCCCTTGCCCTCCCTCAATTCCCCGCTACGTGCAAGCGGCCAGGGCGCGCCACCGCGTCACCGGTCAAAGTCAGGTCAGAGGCCAAACCAGAACGAAAATGGCGCTCACTTTCTCGGGTGGTTAGCATGATGCTGTTGACCGAAAAGGCCCCTGAAGAAACCGCAGGATATTCTGAGCCTTTTCATGAGTTGAGAAAGGACCAGAGGAGGCCAGAATTGGCGATACATGGGCTTCTGTCAGTGCATTTGGATCTTGGCCTCATTTCCGGTTTTGGTTTGCTTGTACGAAAAATACATTAAAAGAGAGTTTTGATGTGAGGGAGAACGAATTGCAGAGTTTCCGTAAGACAGGGGTTCTAGTCTCACATGGCCAATGTCTTCTAGCCTATCCAAGCATGGGCAAGGAACGTATGGGTATACACATAGGAGAGTATGCAAATCAAAGACTACTACTTCGAGGAGGGAGGGAGGGGGAAAAAGCACATTAGAGCGTGTTTGGCAAGTAGTCGGAGTGGCTTATTTTAGTCCCTTCAACATGTTTGATCAATGGATTATTTTGTGCTTATAAGCCACCAAAAAATAAGCTCTATGACGTCCTGGCTTATTTTTTGGTTTGACCAAGTGAAATACTAATATATCACTAATTACCATTTCACAAAATTCCAATCCCCTTTTATCTCTCTTTTAACTCCATTGAACATTTTTTTAGTCATTTCAATAATAATAATAGCTCATAAGTCATCCATTTGCCAAACGCTCTACTATCGAATAGATTATAATCCACTAAACTTTATCAAACACCGGAATGTAATCCAAAATTGCAAAACATGCTCCCACTCATCATAAATTTCAAAATTGCGTACAAGATAAAATACCTTCATTGTCTTAATGACGGTAAATGCTAGTTTTCGGCTCCATGTGACGTGTGCAGAAAGAGGAATGCCATAATGCTGAAGTAGCACGATGTGGAGGTGCATATATATATATGAGTTAAAGTAATATAACTTCTGAGGGTATTAGTGTGATTGATATGACCAATCATATCATGAGAGCTTCAAGTCACAAGTTGTTTACAAAATGGCTATTGATTTGTAGCATTTTTTTAATCTCTAAAATTATACAAAAATTAAGAAAAAACAAAATCGTTTTTTTAATTATGCTTTTTGTTAACATAATAAGCCAGTTATTTGAAAATTAAGAAGCTAAACGTTGTTTTTTTAAATACTTTTCCCGAGTTACCCCATGGAAGTCTGATGAGGAAAAAAAAAAGGTGTCCAATATTTGTGCATTTTAAATTAGAGAACAAATGCATGTACCAACATATGTTTGAACTAACATCTAGTATAAACACGAATGGTTTTGGTATTGTATCTAATCTTATAGTGGCTAGCCACTTTATAGAGGAAAATATCATGAATGTAGTATGGTTTGCTAATGTCCCACCGCACACAACCAAAGCAAACTATGCATCACCAAAGTGTGGCATGGTTTACTGATAGACTAATGCTTGTGGCACGCTCGTCAAATATTTACGACATGGTAAGTACCTTTTCTTTTCTTTTATTATTATTTTTTTCAAACTGGAAAATGCATCTGTGAGCTTAAAGGCCTATTTAGATAAAGGAGAATAATTTCCTTATATTATTTATCCACCCATTTCTGGTAGTTTAATTTTCCCTACTCTACAGGGGGGGTTTGAATTTCCGCTGCAATACATCATGTATGCTAAGGGGCTGTTTGGTTGCACACTTTTTGAAAAAACTTTTCTCAAAACATCTGACAATGGCAAATTTGTAATTAAAAGTTTTTCAGAGATTTCTGTAAATTGTGTTTGGTTCAACAAAAAATTTACAGAAATATTTTCTATAAAATATCAAAACCTACCAAATTTTACAAAAAACAATTTCCTCTCAAAATGAGAGGAAATCACCAGAAATCTGACACATACCATATTTAATTAAAAACCTATCAAATCTTGTTATTTTCTATAAAGTTATGACTCATTTTCTTGTTTTGAACCAAACAAGCAAAGTACAAAAAACAAGAAAATTGGTACTTTTTTATTTCTCAAAACTTTTCCTATAATTTTTTAAGAAATACAAGGAAATCATATTTTAAGTGGAAAACATTTCCTATAATTTCTAGAAATTGAACCGAACACCCCCTTACATTCCATTCTCTTCTCTTGCCTATTTTTCCTTAATTTCCCTTGCATTGTGTTTCAGAGTGCACTAGGGGAAGGGAAGGAAATGTAAAATAAGGGGAACAAAGATAAAGAAATGGAGGGCAAATATAATATCTTATTTAGGAGTTTAGTAAAGAGAATGTACGGTAACCTATTTCATCATGTTTAGAAGTTCTAATTAAGGGCAGGTGAAAAAATGGTTTTATAATGAAATCTGAGATGTTAATCCATAGTGATAGAAAGTCTAATATTAGATCTTATAAGTTTATTTTCCCAATCCTCCTCCACACCACAATTTAGAGGTGAACAAGACCACAACGTTTTTATAAAAAATTTACTCCTCCTACCCCCTCTGTTACCTTCCTTTTTTAAAAAATTCCTAAACGGAGTTAAGTGCTATTTTTTTTCTTCCATTACCCTTAGCTCTCTCTCATCCAAACGTACTTCTACTCCCAATGGAATCCAAATGCACAATAAAGTTTTGGGAAAAATGTGTCCAGGCCCCAAAAGTGGGAACTTCGTGTGACTAGCCCCTTGTACTTTGCCCCATGTGGAATAGCCCCAAATACACATAGTATTTGCGACGAGGCCCCGAATTGACTTTTTTTCAGAAAAAGCCAGAGAAAGTTACGATCTTGCCCTCTGATGGGACTGAGCTGGGTTAATGTGCCCCTCACCTTTACAAGTACTCTCCCTCTCTTTCTCTCTCTTCCACCTAGCACCGCCATCAAAAACTCTTCATCTTCCTAATTTCTGTACGGATTTCAACGTTTCTAGGGTTTTCGCCGGAAAAATGTCGTCGTCTACGGAAAAATCCAGTAACGACTACGAGGTCGGGCACCGAGCCGAGTTGGAAGGAAAAGGCGCTTCATCTGCGGGTGGCAGCACGGAGGAAGCTACGGAAGCTACGAAAACCCTAATCGAAATGCAAAAGGAGGCATTACAATGGCGAGACCAGAAAAGGAGGACGACAATGGCTGGTCGTACCAACGAACCCCCCTCAAAAAAACAGTAAGTGTTATGTTATACTGCGAACAGACAATGCAGATTAACCCAATATTGTTAGTTCTAGGCTTTGTCCAATGTTAGTTCTAAATTTATACCAACGTTAGATCTAGTTTAAGTCCAATGTTAGTTCTAATATGAGTCCAATGTTAGTTCTATAATATTACGTGTTAGCTCTATTTTGTTCCCGTTAGTGCTAGGTCTAATATTGTTTCATATGTCTTATTGAACTTACAAATTCGAAAATTTTTTGCAGGGAAAAAATTGCTCTAACAGGCTCAGCAGAAACACTAAGGTTAACGGCCAATATCGGGGCTTATTGGGCATTTATGAAGCGCCTTGCCCCGAAGATCCGTCAGTGGCATAGGGATGCATACTGCGGTTCTATATTTCAACACTACATTTTATTTGGGGCTCCTGCGCCTGATCGGCCCACCCTTGAGCTGCTGCTGAGCTTTTTCGATAGAGATAATAACACCTTTTGTATACCTGATTCAAAAAGTGGGGGTATGAAAAATGTTAGTTTTGATTTGCAATGGGTCCACAACCATACTTATTTCCCAATTTATGGGGAGGACATAAGGAACAATAGGGACTCAAGAAGCAGAATATGGCTGGAATACTTCGCTAAGCTTTTCATTTCTGAAGAGGGTAAGAAGTTAAAAAAATCAGAAACCAGCCAACGTAAACATCTTGAAGGGCTACTTGAACGGCTTGTTGAATCTACCAAAAAGCGGGATATCGAGGATTTTACTCTGCTACAAATTTTGTACCAATGCTCTATGATATGGAGTCCCATAGCAGGGGAAGGTATCCCTAGACCCTTACTCAGGTACCTGGATAGCATTCAGAGGGTCAATTCTGTTGCATGGGCCCCGTTCTTTTATAATGAAATTATCAGGGGCATTGGAGTTGCTTTGGAGGGAAAGAAGAAGCAAAAGGTCGCATATGTCCCAGGTTGCATGACACTATTGTGTGTAAGTTCCATATTTTACTGATCTTGTTTCATTCTAATTCGTACCTATGCATTGTTAGTTCTAACTTATTCTATGTTAGTTCTATTCTGTAGCGTGTTAGTTCTAATCTGCACAGTGTTAGTTCCGTTCTGTAGAGTGTTAGTTCTAATCTGCAGATTAGAACTCACACGCTACAGACAGATTAGAACTAACACGCTGCAGAATAGAACTAACACTCTACAGAATAGAACTAACACTGTGTTAGTTCTATTCTGTAGAGTGTTAGTTCTATTCTGTAGAGTGTTAGTTCTATCTGCACCCATTTAAGTTCTATCATAGGTCATGTTAGTTCTATCATAATTCATGTCGTACCACGTACTAATTTACACCATGTTAGTTCTAGATGCAGCCATATTTTATTCTCTTTAGTCTAGTCTAGTATTAAATGTTAATGGTAAATATATTATTTGTAGAGTGTTAGTTCTAATCTGCTCAGTGTTAGTTCTATTCTGTAGAGTGTTAGTTCTATTCTGTAGAGTATTAGTTCTGTTCTGTTCTGTTCTAATTTACACCATGTTAGTTCTAGATGCAGCCATATTTTATTTTCTTTGGTCTAGTCTAGTATTAAATGTTAATGGTAAATATATTATTTGGTACAGCTTTGGTACTACGAGATGACAGGCATAAAAAAATATGCCCTCTTAGACACCTCCAGACCTCCAATGACAAATTGGGCATTAGGGGAGGAGAGAATCGCATCTATGAGGATGCCGACAATTATTTCAAAGGCTAAGTCAGCGTCAATAACATTTGTCCATAGGCCTATTGCGGAGGTCGCTTCTCCTGGTCATGTTCATCCACTTCCCGCTGAACAGAGGGATGAAGTTCTTCAGCAAAAGCGTCAGGCAAAGAGGAAGGCTTTGCAGGAAGAAACTACTAAGAACTTCTCAATAGGTTACGTAAGTATCCTGTTATGTTAAGTCGTACTCATTTCACACTAACTGCAAAGAATATCCTAATTATGTTTAATCCTACTTAAAATAATAATCTTGTATCAATAACAGATCATGGCAAAGCATATTGACGTTGCTTTTAACGATGAAGAGGAGATCAATGTTCTTCCCATTGAGCAGCAACTCACATTTTGGAGAAATTCTGCTAAATTTCTCAAACGACTTCTTGTTGCTACAAAGCAGACCAAGAGCAAATATTGTAAAGAATTCATGATTGAGATCAACAGGCTTAACAGGATAATTGAAAAATGTGGAAGACATGATGAGGTTATAGACCCGGTGCTCCTTAAGTCAAATATCAAACAGAAAATTGCAAATGAAATTAGGAAGAAGCGACAGGGAGCTCAAGAGGAACAGAAGTCCAAAACAAGCAGTGTATATAAGGAAGAGCCCACCAGTCAAGAACATGTACATAAGATTGTTGAAGAGGATGTAAAGCATCTTGCTGACGATGAGGCAATAGAAGAGGAGCCAGTTACTTCTCCAGGGGAGGGGGTATATAGTAAGGTTGACCAGACTGTAGATACTAAGGTTGATGATAGTGTAAATAAGGAAGAGGAGCATATGCAACATATTGTAGATATGGAAGAGGAGCATATGGAACATATTGTAGATATGGAAGAGGAGCATATGGAGGATAGTGTAAATAAGGAAGAGGAGCATATGGAACATATTGTAGATATGGAAGAGGAGCATATGGTAGATAAGGAAGAGGAGCATATGGAAGATATTGTAGATAAGGAAGAGGAGCGTATGGTAGATAAGGAAGAGGAGCATATGGTAGATAAGGAAGAGGAGCGTATGGTAGATAAGGAAGAGGAGCGTATGGTAGATAAGGAAGAGGAGCATATGGTAGATAAGGAAGAGGAGCATATGGAAAATGAAAATTTTATTGTAGATAACAAAGGTTTTGATGAGGATACTGTTGATGGTGTAGATAAGGAGGAAGATATTGTAGATAAAGGCAAGGAGAATGTAGATAAGTTGGAAGCACAGGAGGAAGAGGATCTTGTGAATATTGAACATGATGTGGACAAACTTGTAGATGTTCTAACGAGCAATGTGGAAGCAAAGCGTAGACCAAAGGCAAAAAGGGTAAGCAGGAGATCTAAATGGAAGAGGACACCATATACTGAAGGCAAAAGAAAGAAAAAGGAAAAAATTAGTATAGATATACTTGAAAGTCCTGAACCAAAAGTAAAACTAGCTGAAAAAGTTACTCATTTTTATCCCGGTATTCAAATCCCCACTTTTGATGCGTTGAGTTTCAAGCCAATGACAGATGAAGAGGAAGCTCTATTGGGAGAGCTGAATAATGAGCTTCCAGACCCTACATTGTTTAACTTACGCATAATAGATAGCACAGGTGCTTTTGTACATAATTTAAAGATACCATCTCCCGTAGCAGAAAGACTCGACAAAGCTGAAATTGATAGCCTAACCAAATTTTGTTCTCAGAAGATTCACAAGTAAGTTTCAGTTGACTATTTATATGCTAATTCTCCACATATTAGTTCTAATTCATGTTAGTTCTAATTTATACCAGGAGATATAATGTTATAGTAACAACCAACAGCACTATTAACAGGGAAGAGTTGTTATATGTGCTTCGTGGTGGCCGCCTTGACGACAAGGTTAACATATACTTCCTTAATAATTCAAATTATATTGTTTAAATTGAATTTTAATGTTTCATAACAATTACAGGTGGAAGAAGCAGTTTTGGACACGATTAGCCAGGAGGCATACGGCAAAGGATATGGAGTGGTATCGGTGTTCTTTCTTGTAAGAACATGCTATTCCTAATTTCACCACGTTAGTTTTGATTGAAATTCATGTTAGATCTTGTGTAATCCATGCTAGTTATACCATGAGTCACGTTAGTTCTAGTTAGCATCAAATTAGACCTACCATAAGTCATGTTAGTTCCGTTCTTTAGAGTGTTAGTTCTATTCTGTAGAGTGTTAGTTCTAATCTGCACAGTGTTAGTTCTATTCTGTAGAGTGTTAGTTCTAATCTGCACAGTGTTAGTTCTATTCTGTAGAGTGTTAGTTCTGTTCTGCACAGTGTTAGTTCTAATCTGCACAGTGTTAGTTCTAGTCTGTACAGTGTTAGTTCTATTCTGTAGAACGTTAGTTCTATTATGTAGCGTGTTAGTTCTATTCTGCACAGTGTTAGTTCTATTCTGTAGCGTGTTAGTTCTAATTAATACGGTGTTAGTTAGCCTTACCGTCCCGGCCAACACCTCCAGCACCATACGACATCTTTCTGCTTTCGCCATCTTCAATCTTGATAGAGGCCGTCCATCGGTGCAGGAGCTCCGAGAGATGCTGGCCTACCGCTTCAATCTTAGGATATGGCCCCATCAAATCAAGGAGGCGACAGGGAACAGCTTCATGGTGCAGTTTCCATCCGATGAAGTTCTTGCCCAAGCTATTGAACTCGGTTTGATAGATATGGACACATTTAAGGGCAGATTCCGCCGTTGGAAAGAGGATCTGAGGCTAACAACGTTGCCTCAACCCTTTCTAGTATGGATTCGCCTATTCAATCTCCCATACCACCTCTGGAATTTTGAATTTCTTCAATCTCTGCTCATTGGTATCGGTGAATGTGTCATGTGCTCCAGGGACGTCATAACACATTCTAACTTCAAAGACTGTAGAGTTCTACTCAAGGTTAGGGATTTATCTGAAATCCCTAAGAGGCTTGGGTTCCGTTACATCTCGCCGGTGGACGGTAACGCCAGGGAAGGATACGCCATCACGCAGGTCCAATGCGGGGGGAATTTGGAGAGGGCTCATGGATCCACACGACTCAACTTAGGGCCCCAGCGTGCGCAGCCCTTTAGGGCCGACCCCGAGTTAATTGAGGTTAGTTGGGGTGGCGTCCACATGACGGTAGAGAGAGACCAATGGCAGCTGTTTCTCCGTAACCAAGGGGTCGGGGGTGCCAATTCTCCAAGGGCTCTCCCTACCGGCAATGTTCCTCTCCCTTTAAACCCCATCGTCTCCCACAGTGGCTCAGCGGAATCCAGTTCTCCTTCCTCAAAGCGCAGTAAGCCAGGACCTTCGAAAAGGAAGGCGAGTGATAGTGAAAAGGGTTTATTAGACCCAAACCCATCCAGCGAGGGCAGCAACAAATGAAGACCTGGAATCATTGCGTGTTTTTTCTTGTTAAATTTTGCTTATCCACCAAACAGTTTGTTACAAATGTTGTGTTACTTCCAATCTGCACCCTTTTAGTTATATATTTTAACATGTTAGATCTATTCTGTAGAGTGTTAGTTCTAATCTGCACAATGTTAGTTTTGTTCTGTAGAGTGTTAGTTCTAATCTGCACAGTATTAGTTCTGTTCTGTAGAGTGTTAGTTCTAATCTGCACAGTATTAGTTCTGTTCTGTAGAGTGTTAGTTCTAATCTGCACAGTGTTAGTTCTAATCTGTAGAGTGTTAGTTCTAATCTGCATGTAGCTTGTGATGGCTTGTTAGTTCTATTTTATTACACGTTATATCTAATTTATACCACGTTATATCTAATTTGTGTTAGTTTTATTTTATACCAAGTTATAAACCTAATTTATACCACGTTATATCTCATTTTATACCAAGTTATTTCTAATTTATACCAAGTTAGTTCTATTTTATATCACGTTATAAACCTAATTTATACCACGTTATATCTAATTTATACCACGTTAGCTCTAATTTATACCAAGATAGTTCTATTTTTTACAACGTTATAAACCTAATTTATACCAAGTTAGTTCTATTTTATACAATGTTAGATCTAATTTATACAAAGTTAGTTCTATTTTATACCAAGTTTGTTCTCATTTTATACCAAGTTAGTTCTAATTTATACCAAGTTATTTCTGTTCTGTAGAGTGTTAGTTCTAATCTGCACAGTGTTAGTTCTATTCTGTAGAGTGTTAGTTCTAATCTGCACAGTGTTAGTTCTATTCTGTAGAGTGTTAGTTCTAATCTGCACAGTGTTAGTTCTATTCTGTAGAGTGTTAGTTCTAATCTGCACAGTGTTAGTTCTATTCTGTAGAGTGTTAGTTCTAATCTGCACAGTGTTAGTTCTATTCTGTAGAGTGTTAGTTCTAATCTGCACAGTGTTAGTTCTATTCTGTAGAGTGTTAGTTCTAATCTGCACAGTGTTAGTTCTATTCTGTAGAGTGTTAGTTCTAATCTGCACAGTGTTAGTTCTGTTCTGTAGAGTGTTAGTTCTAATCTGCACAGTGTTAGTTCTATTCTGTAGAGTGTTAGTTCTAATCTGCACAGTGTTAGTTCTATTCTGTAGAGTGTTAGTTCTAATCTGCACAGTGTTAGTTCTATTCTGTAGAGTGTTAGTTCTATTCTGCACAGTGTTAGTTCAAGTCTGTAGCGTGTGATGGCTTGTTAGTTCTATTTTATTACACGTTATATCTAATTTATACCACGTTATATCTAATTTGTGTTAGTTTTATTTTATACCAAGTTATAAACCTAATTTATACCACGTTATATCTCATTTATACCACGTTAGATCTAATTTACTAATTTATACCAAGTTAGTTCTATTTTATATCACGTTATAAACCTAATTTATACCACGTTATATCTAATTTATACCACGTTAGCTCTAATTTATACCAAGATAGTTCTATTTTTTACAACGTTATAAACCTAATTTATACCAAGTTAGTTCTATTTTATACAATGTTAGATCTAATTTATACAAAGTTAGTTCTATTTTATACCAAGTTTGTTCTCATTTTATACCAAGTTAGTTCTAATTTATACCAAGTTATTTCTGTTCTGTAGAGTGTTAGTTCTAATCTGCACAGTGTTAGTTCTATTCTGTAGAGTGTTAGTTCTAATCTGCACAGTGTTAGTTCTATTCTGTAGAGTGTTAGTTCTAATCTGCACAGTGTTAGTTCTAATCTGTAGAGTGTTAGTTCTATTCTGCACAGTGTTCGTTCTAATCTGTAGCTTGTGATGGCTTGTTAGTTCTATTTTATTACACGTTATATCTAATTTATACCACGTTATATATCTAATTTATGTTAGTTCTATTTTATGCCAAGTTATAAACCTAATTTATACCACGTTATATCTCATTTTATACCAAGTTATTTCTAATTTATACCAAGTTAGTTCTATTTTATACCACGTTATAAACCTAATTTATACCACGTTATAAACCTAATTTATACCACGTTAGATCTAATTTATACCAAGTTAGATCTATTTTTTACTACGTTATAAACCTAATTTATACCACGTTAGATCTAATTTATACCACGTTATATCTAATTTGTGTTAGTTCTATTTTATATCACGTTATAAACCTAATTTATACCACGTTATATCTAATTTATACCACGTTAGCTCTAATTTATACCAAGATAGTTCTATTTTTTACAACGTTATAAACCTAATTTATACCAAGTTAGTTCTATTTTATACAATGTTAGATCTAATTTATACAAAGTTAGTTCTATTTTATACCAAGTTTGTTCTCATTTTATACCAAGTTAGTTCTAATTTATACCAAGTTATTTCTGTTCTGTAGAGTGTTAGTTCTAATCTGCACAGTGTTAGTTCTATTCTGTAGAGTGTTAGTTCTAATCTGCACAGTGTTAGTTCTATTCTGTAGAGTGTTAGTTCTAATCTGCACAGTGTTAGTTCTATTCTGTAGAGTGTTAGTTCTAATCTGCACAGTGTTAGTTCTGTTCTGTAGAGTGTTAGTTCTAATCTGCACAGTGTTAGTTCTATTCTGTAGAGTGTTAGTTCTAATCTGCACAGTGTTAGTTCTATTCTGTAGAGTGTTAGTTCTAATCTGCACAGTGTTAGTTCTATTCTGTAGAGTGTTAGTTCTAATCTGCACAGTGTTAGTTCTATTCTGTAGAGTGTTAGTTCTAATCTGCACAGTGTTAGTTCTATTCTGTAGAGTGTTAGTTCTAATCTGCACAGTGTTAGTTCTATTCTGTAGAGTGTTAGTTCTAATCTGCACAGTGTTAGTTCTATTCTGTAGAGTGTTAGTTCTATTCTGCACAGTGTTAGTTCAAGTCTGTAGCGTGTGATGGCTTGTTAGTTCTATTTTATTACACGTTATATCTAATTTATACCACGTTATATCTAATTTGTGTTAGTTCTATTTTATACCAAGTTATAAACCTAATTTATACCACGTTATATCTCATTTATACCACGTTAGATCTAATTTACTAATTTATACCAAGTTAGTTCTATTTTATATCACGTTATAAACCTAATTTATACCACGTTATATCTAATTTATACCACGTTAGCTCTAATTTATACCAAGATAGTTCTATTTTTTACAACGTTATAAACCTAATTTATACCAAGTTAGTTCTATTTTATACAATGTTAGATCTAATTTATACAAAGTTAGTTCTATTTTATACCAAGTTTGTTCTCATTTTATACCAAGTTAGTTCTAATTTATACCAAGTTATTTCTGTTCTGTAGAGTGTTAGTTCTAATCTGCACAGTGTTAGTTCTGTTCTGTAGAGTGTTAGTTCTAATCTGCACAGTGTTAGTTCTAATCTGTAGAGTGTTAGTTCTATTCTGCACAGTGTTAGTTCTGTTCTGTAGAGTGTTAGTTCTAATCTGCACAGTGTTAGTTCTATTCTGTAGAGTGTTAGTTCTAATCTGCACAGTGTTAGTTCTATTCTGTAGAGTGTTAGTTCTATTCTGCACAGTGTTAGTTCAAGTCTGTAGAGTGTTAGTGCTATCCTGTAGAGTGTTAGTTCTATTCTGTAATCTGTTCCGATCCAAGTCAGTTCTGCTTCTGCACATGTTAGTACTATCTGATACCAAGTTAGTTCTATTCTTTGGCTTGTTACTCCTAGCCCCTCGAGCGCATCGAATAACTGAGATGTTAGTTCTATTCTTTTAAGCGTGTTAGGCCTAATATGATAGTTGTTTTGTTACTTACAACTTTTTATCTAGTGTAAGCTGATGTTAGTTCCCGATTAACAAAGAGTAAACATTCAATCGGAAAAAAACAAAATATTTGTTGCATACTGGGACGAAAACACTTCAACATATCAAACACTTAGTCAGCTATAGATTCATTACATGTTTTACGGTTATGACCTTCCATATGACATCGAGAACATTTTACTGGCCGCGTGTAAACAGTTCTGTTGTTGATACGCCTGGTTTTATTTCTCCCTTTCCTTTTTGTTGTAAGTGGAGGTAGGATCTGTATCTCATCCCTTGGCACGATGCACTTCTCATGGTCAGGGATAGGGTAGAGGATTGGCTCATAGTTTTTTTTAAAGGCTTCAACCGTCATAAACCAGTCACAGAACTGGTAGACATCCCTTTTCATAAACATAATGGATGCGCATGCATGTTTGCAAGGGACACGGGTTACATCCCACCCACGGCAAGTGCATGTTTTATTGTCTAGATCCACTTGACAAGATCTATGGGATTGTACCTCAAATAATCCTGTGTGGGACTGACGAACCTCCAATGGACGGCCATTTTCCATGTTCTCTTTGAGAGCAAGTTCAGCTTTGGGGCAAAGAAATTGATTCCAGCTTTCAGCCATGGTTCGTCGCTCATTCATACGAACCATAATCTGTTTACGTATGTGCTCTACCAGTTGAAGTATCCGTAGTAGCCTAGCCTCATGTATCCATTTGTTGAATGACTCTGCAACATTGGATGTAACGTGACCATATCTGAAACATAATAGGGAATTCGTCAAGCGGCTTATAATAGTCATGTAATGAAATAGCTTATAACTTACCTAACTCCAGGGAAAAACGCATTGGCCCAGTTTTCTGGAGCGTAGTTCATCACAATATTGTAAGCTCTTTCGTCAACCAGTCTAATGTCGTCCATGTAATCGTTCCATTCTGCTCTAGTATATTTGTAACAGGCAGATTGTAATAGATTACCCAAGATCTGAGTATCTTTTGATTTGAATCCCAAATCCTTCAACTTTGTCCTGAAGTTCTCAACTAGATGCAACACACATCGAGAGTGTATAGAATCTGGAAAAAATTCTCTAACTGCTTCTCTGATCCCCTTATCCGCATCTGAAATTATCACTAGCTTGTGTGGAGGGTTGTATGGATCTGGCCTTTCATAGAGAATAGACCACAAACCTACAAAGAGTTGTGGTTACCATACACGAATTAGAGTTAGCAATGAATGAGCTAGAATTATCATAACCTGCAACAGAACTAACATGGCTAGGGATAGAACTAACCTTGTAAGAACCACTTCCAGTTAACATTATTTTCCTGATCACATATACAATACGCCAATGGAAATATCCCCTGATTTCCATCATATGCTACGGCGTTTAGGAGTATGCCTTTGAATCGATCTTTAAGAAAGGTACTATCCAAAAATAAGAGTGGTCTACAGCCATATAAAAAACCATTTATGTAGGCGGCGTAGCATATGAATAACCTTGTAAACCTCCCCTCATTTTGTTCAACATGAATATAGCTACCTGGGTTTGTCTTCTTGACCTCTTCTACATACCTAGAAAATTGAAGATTAAGCGTTAGTACCAACATTGAAAAATTAGTATAATCAACATCACATAAAGGAAATTAGTTTGTCTTTTGTTATATATCATCTTCTATTTACCATCGTAATTGATCGTAGGACTCATGGGCATCACCATATAATTTCTCTTGTACTCTTTCTTTACCCCACCAAATCTTACTATAATCGACCCTAATCCCATACGAGCTTAGAAACTCCTTTTGAACGTCAATAGGCCGTATATCCGGTCGAACCTTTAACGTGGGTTGTAATTGGGTAGTAATGAATCGCCTTGAGGCTCTAGATTGACGAGCATTATTGCCATGCTGCCCACAACTGTGATTGTCCACAAACCTTTTGATTTCAAGTCTATTATCATTTTTCGGTGGAGAGGCAAATAACATCCACGGACAATTTTTTGCTGCCTTAAACCGACAAAACACTCGAATACGCTTCGGTTCATTCTTCCCAAACTCGTATTCGAATTTTTTTGCCATGGAGTAGTATAGCAAGGCCAATCTTAACTCCTTCGCACTTTCAAATCGTTGTCCCTCACCGGTTAAAGCTGTGTGCCACCAAGCAGGAATCCTCTCTGATCTGCTAATCATGTCATCAATCGTCATGACATCATCTCCGGAAGGATTGTCATTGGGATTCTTATCTGGAACACTTGTGGTCAACAACGCCGACGGGCCACAGTCTACACTTTTTGATTTCAAACTGCACAAATAATAGAAGTATCAACAGATAATAGCAAAAGCTAAAAAGCAAAAACGACAATTGCTTGCTGTTAGAATCAATTAGAACTAAAAGAACTAACAATATAACCATTAGAGCTAACAGTGCATTGATTAGAACTGACATAATAGCTATTAGAACAAACAATATAGCCATTAAAGGTTAGTTCTAATTTAACGAAGTTATTTCTATTTTATAACAAGCTATTTCAAAATTATAACATGTTAGTTCTATTCTGTAGAGTGTTAGTTCTAATCTGCACAGTGTTAGTTCTATTCTGTAGAGTGTTAGTTCTAATCTGCACAGTGTTAGTTCTATTCTGTAGAGTGTTAGTTCTAATCTGCACAGTGTTAGTTCTATTCTGTAGAGTGTTAGTTCTAATCTGCACAGTGTTAGTTCTATTCTGTAGAGTGTTAGTTCTAATCTGCACAGTGTTAGTTCTATTCTGTAGAGTGTTAGTTCTAATCTGCACAGTGTTAGTTCTATTCTGTAGAGTGTTAGTTCTAATCTGCACAGTGTTAGTTCTATTCTGTAGAGTGTTAGTTCTAATCTGCACAGTGTTAGTTCTATTCTGTAGCGTGTTAGTTCTAATAATATGCACAGTGTTAGTTCTAATCTGTAGTGTGTTAGTGTCAGTTCTAACTGATGGCTTGTTAGTTCTATTTTATACCTACATTGTCTAATTTATACCACGTTATATCTAATTTATAACAATTAGGACTAACAATATGGGAACTATAGTGGAACCAGCAATAACTCTAGTAGAACTAACAAAATAGCGATTAGAACTGACAAATAAAACATTAGAACTCTAGTATGGAGCATAACAAAGAACTGCTTAATGACAAATAAAACATTAGAACTGAAGTCCAGTTAAACCTAGTATAGAACTAACAAGAAGACGATTAGAACTTAAGTTAATTGATTTTACAGTTAACCTACATGTCTTGTCGGACTTGCTCGTTTTCCTGTTTATTCGAAGAATCATCTCCTTCTTTAAAAGCTTGCACGTGAACCTCTTTCAGTCCAAGATTGTGGCAATGCTCCACCATAGACGTCAGATCACCATCGTTCTCAATGAGAAATTTTAAGCTTCCAACTGTTTGATCTTCGTATGCCAAAATTAATGACTCGTATGGAAGATCTAACCTCTCTGCCGCATCAAACTTGAGATCCAAGATGGTGGTTGAAGAATTAATCTTCAAGAATACCGCTTTATACTGCGAAGAGACAATGCAGATGATGTCCTTTTCAGCCATTTTGATCTGAGGAGGAGGAGTAATGGAGAACTAACTAGTTATTGCTCATGATGGAGAGAGTTATGGAGAGAATTTTGGTCTGAGGAAGAGGAGTAATGGAGAACTAACTAGTTAGATGGAGTAAAAAAAGGGGGAAATTTCCCTCCATTTTCCCCATCATATCGCATTAATGAGAAGTGACTTCCAGGACTCGTCTGGGGAAGAAAGAGAAGGGCAGTTTCGATTTTTTTGTAAAATACAATCTGCTTTTAGTATAAAGCTGACGTGGAGGGGGCTTAAAACATTAAAGCCCATTTTTTGGGGCTATTCCACATGGGGCAAAGTACAGGGGGGCTAGTCACACGAAGTTCCCACTTTTGGGGCCTGGACACATTTTTCCCTAAAGTTTTAGTAGGATTATACAATAAGAAAATTATTTATAAATTAGGTAACCAATACGTCACAGTCATATAATAAAACAAAGTGCTTTTAATTGTGTTGTCCTGTGGATGTGAAATTGTGAAGGTATGCAAATAATCCACGGAGATTTTTGTCACTAGGCTTTCGGGCCTTGGCTACACGAAGGATACTGAGCCCAGCCTCAAACGTATATTATCAAAACGAATAGGTCCATCAGTCTAGAGTCATTAAATCATGTAGCAAGGCCGTAGCCAAACTGCAGACCTATCCTAATTGTTGCCAGAGCCTTATCTATTTGAAAGCCCTCCGAGGCCCTAGCAAAACAAAAAGAAAATAAATTTTCAATCACTAAATGGTCCAACATATTAATTTTTGTCAGCAGCTATCTTCGTACTGAAGAAGAATGAGAGCAATGCATTACTCTAGTAACAAATAATCATGAAATGCTTCTTTCAAAAAGGTTCAAGTCAACTCAAATCTTTATTATCTACATAAATGGGAGACCCTTCAAATGTCCAGTCCTAGCATAAACAAAATTTTACAGGGCTCGATTGCGAAAGCCTTGTAACAAAATTTAGGTCCCCGAGAAAATTGTAAATAAGGAAGTAATAAATGTTCTACGGGTTAGGCTAGGCCGTAGGATAACACAACACAGACACCCAGCTCTGCACATGTACGTTTTCTCAACTTATGATGCCTACTACAACAGGATTAGGCTTAGAAGCTGTTTGGTTGTATGTTTTTACCCGTGTAAAAGGATGTAAAGTCTAAAAAAATGGGTCCCAATGTCAGTTTTCATCACTTTTAATTGTTTGTTTGTAGTTGTGAAAATAGTGTAAAGTGATTTCATATGCTGATGTGACGTTGTGAAAATAGTGTAAAGTGATTTCATATGCTGATGTGACTTGTAAAGTGATTTCATAAAAAAAAGACATGATTTTAGGAGAAAAAAGTGATTTCATATGCTGATGTGACTTGTAAAGTGATTTCATAAAAAAAAGACATGATTTTAGGAGAAAACTGACATTGAAGTCAAAAAACATAATAAAAAATAATTCTAACCAATATGATCATTTGAGTAGGGACCATTTTTTACACTTTCCAAACAAACAATTAAAATTACATTTGCAAACCAAACAAACAATTTATGATTCCAATGGAATAAAAAACAAACAAAGAAAAGTATAAAAGTGATATTGATGAGGTGGACAACAACTTTCCAAGTTATGTCATAAATACACAGCTTCACCAACAACCACCAAACAGCCCCTTAACAACGTGGGCTTTTGGGGCCCATCGCATCCCAGATAAAGCTGGACCCAATGTTTAGTGGGCGTCGGCTTTGTAAATCAGGGCCAAGAAGCGCCCGAATTTAGAGCAGGGCGTCCATAAATGATCCAAGTGTCCTTGTTTACTTTACAGCTGGTTTAATTATCCCATGAACATTCAGAACAGGGTAGCGTACAATTTTCCAACATCCACAGTAGCTATTATATACTATGCATATTCAGTATTGCATTTTTGCACAAAATTCCCACATAACCAGCTCCTCATATGTAACGTTTAACACGCTCAAAATGAATCGCACGCATCAAATTAAGCAAAGAAAAAAAAGAAGCCATAGTT